TGGTACAACTTGTGGCATACAAGCGAAACGCGTTAAACGGTGCTTGTTCGGTACAACTTGCTGCATACACCCGATCTGACTCCAGCGGTACCTCATTGGTACCACTTGAAGCATACACGCAGTATGAGTGAAGAGGTACTTGCTCGGTGCCACTTGAAACATCCTGGGGATATGACTGAAACGGGGTCTGTCTGTTACCACTGGGGGCAAGTAAACTATAGGACTTCAAACGACACGTACGACTGGACACATTTGTATGCTATGGTTCAGCTGGTATTTGCTTGATACGACCTCAGGCATGCAGACTCGATGGTTCACGTGGTACTTATTTGGTTTAGCCTGGTACGACTTGAAGCATGCAACCGGCATGGCCCAAACACTTGCGCTAAACATATGACCAATATTCAGACGATAGGACTCCAGTGGTACTGCTCTGGTGCCACTTGAGTCAAACAGACGATACGTTTCAACCGACAACGTTTTCGTACCACTGGAACTGCATAGACGAGAAGAGTTCGAAACGGTATGACTCAGGTGGTAACGCCATGCCTTGGTAGTGCTTAAGTCATACCGACGCTGTGCCTCCAATGGTAACTACTGAACACAGCATGACTCAAGTCGCTCTTCCTCGGGCCTACGCCAAACAGGCAAGCGGCAACTGACGCATAGAACCTACTTCAGTGCTCGTTGGTTGGTAGCACCCGAAGCATACCGGCGAGTGGACTGGCACGGTACGTCCTTGATTTCAATGTGCTTGATGCCACTGTCACTCAATGGTTACCCAGACATTCGTACAACATTCGTATGTGCAAACGCACAATAGTCGGGTCGGGCGAAAGGGGGGGATAGCAAAGGGGGGGTTTGAGAATCAGCTCACCTAGCTGATTTTCCCGGCGCCTCCCGGCGCCGGAGGTGACTATGTATCGAGGAATGGGCCCCTCGGTGGGGCCGAAACCAGCTGCATGCAGCAGATTTCGTAACCCCCCCTTTCCCAATCCCCCCCCTTCGTCCGGCCCGAAATCGATTCACATGCCACCCGCAAATTTGTACTCTCATCAGGACGTCTGTTGTCATGTCCTCGGGACAGGCGGGGCACGGAACACGCGTCAGGTATTATAGCTTCTGTTGGCGGAGTGTTCAGCGTCTTCTTGCGCGCTCCGTGTCCCGCGAGAGGAGCTAACTGATAATGACGATTGAAGGGGCCCTAGGACACACAAAGAAATACACACAAATAAAAAGATTCCCCATATTTTTCAATATTTTCTGTGTTTCTGTCTTCCCCCCCACTTCCCATATTTTCCCATATTTTCTGGGGAATCGAGGATTAATTGTGTCTGTGTGTTTCTTTTCCTCCTGAACGATGGCGATGCTGAGAACGGAGAGAGCGTGATCCACCGCCGCTTTGCTGCGGAAAATTGCCAACTTTTTCCTCCGGAACCCGGGGGTCGCCCCCCCCCCCTCCGAAAATCCCCCCCCCCCCCCCTGCTGGAACCCCTCCCCCCCCCCCCCCCCCCCCCCCCCCCCCCACCCCCTCCCCCCCCCCGGCAAAACCCCCCCCCTCCCCTAAAACCCTCCCTCCCCCCCACCCCCCCCCCCCCTCGAAAACCGGGGGGGGTCACTACCGGTTCGAACCCCCCCCCCCCCTCCGGATCCGGAAAACCGGGGGGGGTCACTACCGGTTCGAACCCCCCCCCCCCCTCGAAAACCGGAGGGGGATCACTACCGGTTCGAACCCCTCCCCACCCCCCCACTCACCGCCAGCAAACGACTCCCGGTCCCTACCACCGTCCGCATCACATCCTCCACTGTTGTTCCCAGCACCACTGTCCTCACCACCACTGTCCCCACTGTGTCCCCACCAGTGCCCCCACCACTGTCGCACTGTCCCCACTGTCCCCACCACTGTTCCCACCACGGTTCCACTCTCCCCACTGTCTCCACGGCCCCAACCACTGCCCGACTATCCCCACTGTCCCCACTGTCCCACTGACTCCGCCGCTGTCCCACTGAGCTGTCCCACTGTTCCCACCACTGTCCCCACTGTCCCCACCACTGTCCCCACTGTACCTCTGTCCCATTGTCCCACCGCCGTCCTCGCCACCGCCTTCACCACTGTCCCCACCACCATTGTACCCTCCACTGCGCCATTGTTTCCACCTCGTTCCCACTGTGCCCACACCACTGTCACCACCACCGCCGTCCCCACCACTGTCCACTGTCCCCCCTGTTCTCACCATTGTCCTCACCACTGTCCCCACCACTACCGGCCCTCTACTGTCCCACTGTCCCACTGTTCCCACCACTGTCCCGCTGTCCCCTCACCACTGTCCCACCAACACCGTCCCCACCTCTGTCCGCACCCCCACTGGGTTTTCGAGAGGGGGGGGGGGGGAGGGGTTCGAACCGGTAGTGACCCCCCCTCCCTTTTCATGATGAGTGGGGGGTGGGGGGGGGGGAGGGGTTCGAACCGGTAGTGTGACCCCCCCGGGTTTTCCGGAGGGGGGGGGGGGGGGGGAGGGGTTCGAACCGGTAGTGACCCCCCCCTGTTTTCCGCCAGCAGCGGTAGAACACGCTCTTTCTGAGAACGGAATCAAGCGTTAAACCAAGCAAGCGTGAATCTAGATGCAACGCCAAATCGGCACCAGTGTGGGACACCAGCTGAATTATGATCACTCGCGTACACAACCATTCCGAGACTTCCATGCCACCGTGGCATGCTCTGGGCGCGGAAGTCTGCGATACCACGAGGATCGCCAACGCCTTGGGCCCCATCCCGCTTCGACGGCAATCGGCATAATATTGCCTCTGCCACTCATCTGCCGAGCAGGCATTTGCAATCACATCCATCGAGAGTCCGTATACACTGCTGAGCAGGCATTTGCAGCAACATGGAGCGTTGCTCTCGTTCATCTGATGAGCTAAGCACGAACACATCCGAAGGCATGTGTGCCAACAATCACACGAATTGTCAAACGAGCAGTCGGCGCTTTGTCCGCATCGCGCATCTGCCGAGCAGGGGTCTTTGATGACATGGACACTCGCGCTGGCCAATTGCACGCGCTGATCGCAGCGAACTGCAAAAAGAACTTGCACTCACGTGGAATCTCGCTCTGCCTTCTTCTCATGCGCTGAGCGCGAACGACGAAGACGACTTGGCACCTTGCCCACTGCGTGCATTTGCCAGGGCAGAATTAGCAAGAACGTCCTGCGCTCCTTCATGTCATGCGCTTAGCGCGAGTGTGCCAAGATGTACGTACCACAATTGCAAGGAGCCTCTCTTTCTCGAAAGGGCAATCGAACTCGCCTCTCAGTGTCGGGCGACCGCTGCGGCAAGCGACTTCTTGCTCTTCTCAACCTGCAACCGTCGCGCGCGTGCGCGTTCTCAATCGCCCGCGCGGCCGCGTGGCTCCTTTTTCGGCGCTACCCCCCCGGAAATGCGGCCGTCGGCGCCCTCGGCGACGCAAGCGATGGACCGGCGGCGCTGGCAAGGAAAAATCATCATGTCAGCCAGGCGTTCCGGCATCTGTCTCCGACGCGCCGCCGCGATGAGGCCTTTGCAGCTCTTCTTTCTCTTCGCGAAGCCCGCGTTTCAATGTGCTGCGCACGTCTCGCAACAGGGCGCCGCGCCCAGCGGGCGGCCGATGTCCGCGCATCTCGAGGTGCGACCTGGCTGACTGCTGTTCGCAGCAACTGTCGGGATGTTCACTTCCGCATTTGCAAGCGTTGCGAGGGGAACGCCGCAGCATCTGGCGCTTCTCGCGCCGTGAGGACTGGACACCAGCCAGCGTCTGCGGACTGCGCGTGGCATGCAGCTGCGCGACGGGCTCTTCGCAGTTCGCCCTTTTCGGTAAACCGAGGGCCCTTGGGGACCATGCGCGTCGGGCAGTTCGGTTCCACGCGCAGCGGGTGCCAGCAGCCGCAGCACCTGAAATGCAACCGGGCCTGCTGTTGTCTTTCAGCTGACCCGGAGGCTGGGGCTGGGCAGAGGAGCGCGAGGCTTGGGCGACTGAGTGGCAGCGCCACGTCGATGGGGAGGATTAACGCAGCCACTGCTCGGAGGACCCCCCCGAGCCGCCCCAGGTAGCCATCGACACTGCGCCGGTCGCGAGGTACTTGGCAGAGGCAGGATCGGATCTCCCGAGCAGCTCGCCCATCGCAGAACAGCTGCGACAGCTTTTCGCGGAGAGCGGGAGGGCGTGTTACGCCCACGACCTCACGAGCTTCGTGGACGAGGCGGCGGTGGCATTGGTAGCCAGGGGCACGAAAGCGACGTTCAACACGGCGTGTCGCCACTGGTCGATGTCCTGTCGGATCAGGAGGAATCGCCGATCCTGTCGGGTGAATCGAGGGAGAAGCAACTAGGCGGACGAGAATGAGCTCTTGACGTTCAGAGTCCACATGCGGAACAGCATGACGCGCGGCCCCACAGCACGTTGCGTCAAAAAATTCTGGGCATATGTTCTCAGCAAGTGATGCCGGGCGAAGTGGATGCCGAGGATATGGATGGCGTGGAGCGGGATCGACAAGTCGCATGACCCAGGGCAGCGGAAGCTCCTGGTGACGGCGCGGATGCTGCGGGCCATCAGGAGAAGGTTGCGCCCAGACGATGATCCAGGTGACGCCGCCCTCTACCTGTGCACCATCCCGGCGCTTTTCTTCCCGATGAGGGTCGGCGAATGCGCCCGTTCGGGCCACGGAGACATCAAGAGGGCATCTTGAGCATCGCCCCGCGGGTGGCGGCCGACGAGATGACTCCGTGGTTCAAGGCGTCGAAGGCTGACCAGACGGGTGGCGGGCAAGAACAGAACCACTACAGGTCGGGACGCAACGACGGCATCTGCCCCGTTTAGGCTGCGGAATGCTGCAACAGTTGGTACCCCGACTGGATCAAGGGCGCGGAAGCTCACCTGCCTCCAGCCAGGTGGAAGGACGGCACGGCATTTACCAGGAGCAAGTTCCAGGAGGCGCTGCAACGTGCGGCGTTAAAAGAGGGCTATCCGGCGGATCGCTTTAACTCAAACTCGCGCGCGTCGGAGGGGAGACGGCATTGTGTCACCACGTCGGCGACGCGGAGGTGGTCAAGAGGTGGGGCCGCTGGAACAGTGAAGCCTTCCACTGTTACTTGTGGGAGGCGATGTGGGCGCAAAAAGGGTGGCTAGAGCCATGGCGAATACGGTCGCGCCCCTTCACGTCGGCTGCAAGGCGAAGGCTGAGGAGGCGCCCCTGCGTGGAGGCACGATGAGGCATACGGTCGCGCCCCTTCACGTCGGCTGCAAGGCGAAGGCTGAGCAGGCGCCCCTGCGTGGAGGCACGATGAGGCCCAGAAGATCCCGGCAGAGCAGAAGCCGTTTTAGCCGAGGAGGAGTCTTGCAGAGCTCAGGGCAGCAGCAAGCCCTGACTTCCTGGACGCCGTCGGCACGCACATGCCGGGCGGCACCGTTTTCTGCGCGGCCACGGGGCCGCGTCCGTGAGGTGCGCGGCCAAGGAGGAGGCCTGGTCGGGAGCTTGTGCAGGGGATTGCCGGCAGCCGCGCCGCAGGGAGCCGTGCGGGCCAGAGGACAAGGCGCGGGCCCCCACGCTGGAGGCCGCGAGGTGGGGAGCCGGCCGCACGCGCGGAGGAGCGCGGGCGCCAGACGCGAGCGGCCTGAGGTGGCGCGACCGGCTCCCACGCTGGAGGCCGCGAGGAAGAAGCCGGCGGCGCGAGCCGCTGCGCCCCGAAGGAGGAGCGGCGGCGGCCGGCCTGGGCCCGGCGGGGCCCCGAGCTGGAGGCAGCAGGGCGGGGCCCCCCAGTTGGACAGGCTGGGGGCCGGGCAGGGTCGCCAGGCGCAGTGCCCGGCCCAAGAGCAGAGCGGGGCGGTGAGGCGCATCCCGCGGCACAGGAGCGCTGCGCGCCTGTCGTGGCCCCCCAAAACGTCTGATCTGCCCCAGTCCCGTTCGAGCGCAGCAGGGAACGTGAGGCTCTAGTGGGCGGTGCCTGGCGGGATGGGGCCTCTTCCTCCGTTCCTCCTCTCCCGCTCTGCGGCCCCTTGGGGCGCAGGCATTTTTCCGCCGGGCCCCGCGCCCTCCCAGGTGCCCTCCCAGGCCCGTGATCTGTCCCGCGCCGATCCGTGCGGGGGGGGGCAGTGAGCCGCATCCTGCGGCACGGGAGCGCTGCGCGCCGGTCGTGGCCCAAACCCGGTGCGCGGTGCATGTAAACCGCTCCGCGGGCTTCTCGGCACGACCCCACTTCAAACCAGGGCCCCTCTGAGTTCCTACAAGCCCGGCGAATCACCCGAGAGTCCCCCAGCCCACAAACCCAGGCAAGGTGGCAGGGTGGGCCGACGGCCAGTAGGTGAGCGACAACGGGCCCAGACAAGCGACCCTTTTCGTGACGTGGGCCCCCAGAACTCTCGACCGCAGTTCCCCGGAACTGCATCTTGTGGACAGCCCAGCAAAGATGTACGCGACCAGCCAGGCAGATGCAGGAATATGCCCCCCCAGTTCGCGAAGCCGCCCTCGTGGTCACGAGCGCCAGCGCAGGGCGCTTTCTCGAAGCTCATGTGATCTCATGTGAGCTTACGTACTTGTTGAACATCTTTCAACTTTTGAGAAAAGCGACGCGAAGTTGACACATTGTCCGCCCGGGCCGGGTCGGTCAACTAGGAGCCCGTCAACCAAGTTACCGCCGGGACTCTCGCAGAGCTCTTTCCACGCGCAGCGCTGCTCAGAACAGAAGGAGAAAGCTTTCTTGAGCATCCGCTTGAACGTCCAGATTGTAGTGTTGCCAACATGCGGCGGCACACAGGTACGCGTACACAGAGACAGAGACAGACACAGACACAGACACACACAGACAAACACACACAGACACAGACACACAGACACACAGACAGACAGACACACAGACACACAGACACACAGACACACAGACACACAGACACACAGTCACAGACACACACAGACAGACAGACAGACAGACAGACAGACAGACAGACAGACAGACAGACACACAGACAGACACACAGACACACAGACACACAGACACACACAGACAGACAGGCAGACAGACAGACAGACAGACAGACAGACAGACACGCACACGCACACGCGCACGCACACGCACACGCACACGCACACGCACACACGCACACACGCACACACACACACACCTGTTGGCGGGCATGTTTTGCGACCCCTCTCAGGAGCCCTCGGGGGAGCCTTCGGGAACCCAGCGGGGCTGCTGCCGCCCCGTGTTGCTCCCGTGACCCCACGGGGCTGTGTGACCCCGTGTTGGCCATGACCGCCGCTCCAGTACGCGCGAACAACATGGACGGCGCCACCCGATCCAAAGGCCCAGACCGAGGACAGCCGGCTGCGACGACCGCGACTGCGGCGACAACGACAGCACGGAGGCCAAGAGGCCCCGGGGGGAGGGTGCGCGGAGCTCACGGCGGGCACGGGGGAGGGGGGTCCAGCTGGAAGCGCAGCGACGGCAGGGAGGTGCTGCCCGTGAACTCCCGCCTGCAAGGCCGGCCGGCGAAGACAAGGAGAACAACAGGAAGAGGAGGAGGAGGAAGAGGAGGAGGATGAGGAGGGATTTGAGGAGGAGAAGGAGGAGGAAGAAGAGGAGGAGGAGGAGGAGGAGGGAGGAGGAGGAGGAGGAGCAGGAATAATGAGGAGTAGGAGTAGGAGTAGGAGTAGGAGTAGGAGTAGGAGTAGGAGTAGGAGTAGGAGTAGGAATAGGAGGAGGAGGAGGAGGAGGAGCAGCAGCAGCAGGAGGAGGAAGAGGGATGTTTCTGCGTTGCGGGTCTCTGGGGCCGAATGCGCCCCCCTATGACCTCTGGGGCGGTTGCCCTGTTGCAATCACTGTTTGGGGCTTAGGCACCGAAGCCATCGTCAGTACACGGCGGCAGGGCGGCGAGGCCTCCCTCCTCTTGGGCTATTCTTCCCCTTCTCCCTCCTCCCTCTGGAGTTATTCCTCCCCTTCTCCCTCCTCCTTCCCCCCCTCTTGAGTTATTCCTCCCCCCCTCTTGAGTTATTCCCCCCCCCTTTTCCCTCTTGAGCTATTCCTCCCCTTCTCCCCCCCCTCTTGAGATATTAGTCCTCCCCTCTTGAGCGATTCCTCCCCTTCTCCCTCCTCTCTGTGGAAGTGCATCCTCGTCGGAGCTCGAGGGCGCGGCTGCTGTAGCCAGCCAGGTGCCCGCGCGGGGCGCTTGCGCGCTGTGGCCGCGCATCTGGGATGGCCGCGATCGGGCTTTGCGCAGCAGCACGAGAGGAGGGGCGGAGGAGGAGGAGGAGGAGGAGGAGGAGGAGGAGGAGGACGGGGAGGATGAGCAGCAGGAGCAGGGGCAGGGGCAGGGGCAGGAGGAAGAGGAGGAGGAGCGTCAGTAGCCTTAGGGCGGGCTCCTGTGACGACGCGGCAGCGGGCCGCGGCGGCGGGGGCCTAGGCCTCACTTACTCCAGTAAGGGGCCTCAGGCCCAGGCCTAGGCCTCAGGCCTAGGCTTGGGCCTCGAGCAGACAAGGGGCAGCCTCGGGCTACTCCACTTGCCAGGGGGGCAGACAAAGTAGCATTGGCCATCGAGAATGCCTAAGCCCATAGCCTGGTCGCATATAGCAGCGACCGCCTTGACAATAACCATCTCGAACTGGAACTGGCTGAGGGCCTGGAAGAGCCATTGCCTCCCCGGGGAAGGGAAAGCAGCAGCAATGTCGAAGAGAAGCAAGACAGGCATATCAAGAGAAGCGTCCGCATTCCATTATGTCATGCGGCCTTTGGCGTCCATCATCCGGCTGTTGTTGCAAAAATTGCGTCCGCGAGCGAATCACTGTTGATCCTGATGAGCATGTTCTTCCACGTGAGATCTGAGTTGGAGGTTGAGGGCTCCCGCGAAGAGCTTGAAGTAGGTGTTCTGCCGAGAGATCGGGCGCAAGTTGCCTGCTTCACGCGTGCTGCAGAAGAGGTCGGCGCCCCCCTCGCCCTTCGGGATGAACGAGAAGATCGAGTCGTTGAACGTGGGCGGGGCAACGCCGGACTCGAAGAAACTCCACGTGACATCTTCCAGAGCTTCCACAGCCCCATCAGTCTCTGCCCAGGCTCGGCATGGGAGGCGATCGGGGCCAGGCGCTGACACGCGAGCACGGAGGGCAACACGGCGCATAACAGCAGCGGGCGGAATGATGAGCTTCGGCACGGTGATGTTCGGAGGGGCAAATTGGCTGAGGTGGTCCTTGGGAGCCTGCTCATCAACTTGCTTGTGCGAGAAGGTGGGCAGCTAGTGATTCTGTAAAGCTTCCACTTGCGCAGCGGGGTCCGCAACTGTGCCTCCCTCGTTCGTCAGACGAATCCCAGTCAGAGACAAGGCCCGTGCAAAGGGAGCCCAGGCCCTGCTTCGCTTCTGTAGTATGCGGGCTTGCTTGAGTTGATAATCCATTTCAAGCGTGCGTCCTCGTTGCTGAACTCGCTGTGCCGCGGCGACCGTTTGCCCTCTGCGAAGACGGAGACGTTGCAGATGAGCACGTCGCGAGGCTTCCTTCAACGATGAAGAGGAGTCTTTTCCAATCTCCGTGGTGTTCATGAGAGTGTGGGGCCAGGGAGAGGCCCTGTCTCCAGGCGGCCCGTGAAATGGAACGACGCATGAGTAAATGTGCTTCAGCGGCAGATTGGTAACGAACTGCACCAGGGCATGTGGTGAGTTCATTGCGAGTGAGGCGAGCCGCTTCAGCCATGATGTACTTGAAGCCAAGCCAATGTCGCTTCGCCGTCGTAAATTGCAGCTGCGAGCGTTAAAGAAGAAGCGAGACATTCTGCGAGCAGCGGGGGACCTGGAAGATGAAGGCGGGGATCGGTTGGATGTCGTTCGTCTTGGGAACAGCAATCGCAACCGGAAGGTCCAAGAGCGCATGATCACTTAGGCGACGGTCACTGAGTACGGCAGGACCCTTATCAACTTCCAGTGTTCGCGACAGATTCGGGTAAGCATGGGCAGGGGGACTGACGAAGACGCGATCAATCCTGGTCTCCTTCATGGCGTGGGCGTCGAAGCGCGTGGGCTCGCCACTCGAGACCTCGGTCATCGACGCGAAGAGATTCTTCCAGAAGGACTGATGGTGCTGGTCACCCCCAATGCTGGCGAGGATCATGGGCTGCGGGTCCAGAAGAAAGACAGCAAACTCGTCGTGGATGTTGAAATCACCGAGGGCAACGAACATCCGCGATAGCGGAGCGACCTGTGCCCACTGTTGGTACTTGCGTCAATCAATCTAGGCGGCTCGTCGTTGGTCCTGCGTGCGCTCAAAGTTGTGGATGTTCATGAAGGCAGCAATACATTCATTGCCGTGGTAGACCTCGAAGACTTGCACACGCCCAGGAACAAGGGTGCGGTGGGCAAATATCGTGCGATCAGGAATGACGGAGACGTGGTGTGGGATCTCTGGTGAGCTTACCAACCCTGGCTGGCCAACATCTGGGATCTCTGTCCCTTCTTGATGGTTGGCCGCTTCCCCAAACAGTGCAGGCACCGTCCCTGGGTCAGGAGGAGCGCGTGGACCCAGGTGGCCCAGCCGAGAGAGTTCATCTGTAAGATGATCAGATAACGAGGCCGAAGAAGTGGCCGACGAGGAAGACCTTGAATTGGTAGATGTAGAAGAGGATCGTGAAGCTGTGGAGGGAGTCGATGGTGTCGGAATGCCAAGGACATGAGCCGACTGGCCATCCAGGTCCGTGGCATCGATTTCAGACAGCTTGGGGAAATCAAGCGCGACGCCTCCTGCCCTCGACAAACCGCTGTTGGAGTAGAGCGTCTGATAGGAGTAGGGGGTATTCTGCAGGAGTCGCCGAAGGCAAGCAGCATTACCATGAGCTTCTCGTACAGCAATGATGTATCCCTGTCGCAGATAGGGAAGTAGAAGTTGAAGCTTAGCTTGGCGACGTCGTCGGTCAATGGTGAACACGCTGCGGACATTCCACGTGATGGTCTTGAGGCCCTGTTTGGAGTGGCCAATCCGCTGAATGCTAACCCCCAAGGTATGGCCTTGTCCTCGTCGAAGAAGTCTTTGATCCCTTTTCCACAGAGGGGCAGTTGATACCACGTTGAGCTGCGAGTTCACGATTCCATTCAATCTTGGTGGGCATAGCTGGCATAGGAGGAGGAGGAGGAGAAGGAAGAGGAGGAGGAAGAGGAGGAGGAGGAGGGCGTCCCCAAGGGACTTCGCCTACGCGCAAAAGTGGCGCCAGGCAAGAACACTTGTGCGGCGCGGCTCGCCGATCGCTGCGTGTGGTGCGACTGTGGCGGCCTGCGTGCGTGGGTCTGGCACCACTGCGCCCCCGAAGGCCGAGCACAAGAGGTCACTCTGGCGCAGGGTTGCTCATATGTGTGACTGACTCTCTCTTCCCTCGGGCTTTCGGGCAGTGGGTTCGGCCCGCGTCAGGCTTCCCTGGAACTTGCCCCGTGAGATCTGACGTTGCGGAAACTTGCAACATAGCGCGAGAGATCACGCATGGAGCCCCGATCCCCATGTTCGTGAGGTGTTTTTCAAACCGCATCGGTCCTGGGGCCCGAAGCTTTGGACACCCGAAATGGGTACTGAAAGAATGGGCACAATGCCCGACAACAATTCCTGATCATTTTCAACAGGATTCGCTGCCCACGCCGCCGCGGCCTGTGTCCATTCGAGACAGAAGGCCGCCTGCCCAACAGCGGCCGCTGTTGGCTTGGGACAACATTTGTTGTTGGGCATAGTGCCCATTCTTTCCGTGCCCATCTCGGGTGTCCAAAGAAGCAGAGCAAGTACGCTTGGTGTGAGCAAATTGTGACGCCCGGATCTCGGGGTGTTCTTTTTTTACATAGCGTCGAACCCCAGAAGTCTCGACCCACTCCCCAGGACTGGCCTTTCATGCTGGCGCGTTCTCGAACGGCCCCTGGGCCAGGCGAGGGCCTCTGGAGACCGCGGGCCGCGAGCAGCCTTCGCTGTGTTGCTTCCCCTGAGGCCGAGCCTCTGGCGAATGAAGCCAATCGTGGGACATCTGGGCTAATTTCCAGGAGGTTTCTTAGAACACACCTGGGCCACTCATCCTCCGCGTCTTCCTCCTCCTCCTCCTCCTCCTCCTCCTCGTCTTCCTCCTCCTCCTCCTCCTCCTCCTCCTACTCCTCCTCCTCCTCTTCCTCCTCCTCCGCCTCCTGTGCTCAAGAAACTGGGCCAGCTGTCCGGCAAGTTCTACCAGGCCTTCGGGCGAACGTGGCCTCGTGATGTCTTGCTTCCCTCTTTCAGAAGCCCTCTTCCCTTCGGGGAGGGGTAGCACCCCCCCCCTCCCTGAGGATTTTTGGGGCGCGCCGCGATCGGTCAGAACGTCCAAGATGGCCAAGATGGCTCCAAGAAGGCATCCGATGCTCGAGATGGCCTGCAGAATTGCCCCAAGAGTCCCTCCAGGGCTCCCAAGGGACCCCCAAGAGGACTCCAAGAGGGCCCCAAGCCCCTCCGAAAGAGCCCCAAGAGGACCCCAAGATCACCGAAACGAGCCCCA